ATGACACTCATAATAAGCCAAACAAAAAAAATTATCAAATTGGATCAGATTTATAATCACCCTAATATCAGTGTTTTAAAACCCGGACCGACCCGGCCGGTCGGATCGGTTGGACCGGGAACCGGTGGTCCAGCCGGTTCGAATCTGAAGTTGGATCGGTTATGCAGTCGACCCGTTTCAAACCGGATTGAACCGGTCAATTTTCCGGTTCAACCGGTGAACCGGTGGGTCAAACCGGTTCAACCACTTTTTTTTCTTATTTTTTTTTTAAATTTTTTTAAGGGACCATAAATCACAAAAATAATAATGAAAATTGAATCTCTTAATAAAAAAACAAGGAGTCTTATTAAATATAACAATAACTATTTGTTCTAATATATTTGTTTGCAATATATACAACTTAAATAACTTTTATAGTATATTATTAATTTTAAATTATATATTTAATAATGCAATATCTATGTAAATATTACATATATTATTTTGTGATATTAATTGCAAGCATATTATATATGTACATATTATTTATATTTTTAATTTGTATTAATATACCGTTTAACATGTAATTTTTTTATGTATTTTTTTACAAAATAAAAATAAAAATAATTTTAAATAAGATAGAAAAATTGAAATTTAAAATAAGATATGAATTTATTAAAATTTATAAGTATAAAATATATTTAATATAAATATTTTTTAATAAAAATCGAGTCATGCGGTTCAACTAGTGACCCACCGATTCAACCTTTGACCCACTGACCCAGTACCTTAACCGGTTCGATGACCGGTCCGGTTTTTAAAACTATGCCTAATATGGTTGGAGGAAGACTTGAGATAATAAAATCATAAACGTAAGTTTAGACTTCACTACACCATTTTTATAATTTTTTCCATCTGTACCAAAAAATTATTTCCTATAATTTTCTTTAGAAAATAGGCTATACATTATTAATGTAAAATCATTCTATAAAAATAAATAAATAAAATTGATATTATAATCTTTCTCTAAAATATATATTTCTATCATCAATCAAGGTTGAATTGAGCATAACTACAATTAATCAATAAAAATCCATTGCTTTATATTGAAAATTTCGGTGATATTTATTAAATAGGCAACTAATGAGAAAATAAATAAATATCAACTTTTACTATTAAAAAACTAAATTAATAGCAATTTAATCTGTTAAAACTCAAATATTAATTTAATCTATACCATAACATAATTTATTACGTTCCATCAATTCAAAACAATTTTTATGGACTAAGAAAAATAATATAATATTTTTTTATACATCTACAGAATTTTCAACCGACCATAAAAAATTAATGGAATTAGTTTTGTCTTTTGGCTAGAGGAATATTACTCTACTATAATATATATATATATATATATATTTTGGAAAACATTGCAATAAATTATATATATATATATATATATATATACCATATGACACCATATAATTATACATTAAATTAGCTTATAAATACAATATTATTTAATTAAAATTAGACGATTTTATAACTACTCCATATAAATATTTTAACAGAATACCTAAGACTTATTTTTAAAATTCACTTTTCTATATTATAAACTTATTGTAACAACCTATCAAATTATTATATTTTGTACTTAATTATTCGCAATAAAAAAGTAAATAATAAGTATTTAACTTTAACATTCAAATGATTTTTGAAATATACTTATAAAAATAAGTGTATAGAGATAAAATTAACTAAAAATTTAAATGTTCATAGATGGAATTATAACATATCATGAATACATGTATACATATATATGATTTAAAAATTGAAAATATAACCGATACTATCGATCAAGCAACACTACAAAATATCTACATAAGGGTAGCATCAATCTACAGTGCCAATTCAGCATAGCTCTCAACGAACATGTACTTTCAACCTATCCCTATCCTATTTCTATATAAATATAATCATCATAGTCCAATTACAAAAAAACATGTAATGGTAAACTAGTATTCAAAAGAATATTCACATTACAAGTATAGGAGTAAAAATAATTATACTACCAACATCATTATTATGCAAACCACACAACACCATATCTCATGGCTTACAACTTTAGTAACACAACAACAATTTCAACTTTCACCACAACAATTCAACATAGCATATGAACAACACCAAAATCAACACATCATATGCATAACACAATAACTACATGCGTTGCATGCATTCAACTAAGAGATCTCTTATAACTTAAGTGAGTAATCTTAGTGACTTAACCCTAGTGAATCAACAACAAATGCAATCTTTTTACACTTGTTAAATCAACAACTAATTTGGATAAAATCAATAGCATGGTTTCCTTAGATTTTGCTACTTAAATTAAGAAAGTCTAATATTCCTGTCAAGGTAGGACACAACATTAGCATGCATAATTAAGTCTCTTATGGGATTAGTCCACCGACTGTCCTCTAAATACTACGTCATTTTCAGTACTTAGTTAAAGATTTTGACCTCTAACCTCATACCTTACTCGATTTTGTCACTTTATACATGTATGAATCAACATGACCCCCATACAAATTAACATTAGTCACTTTATAATCAATATAACTCAAATTGGCTTCTATAATGTGGTCACTTATAAATTTACCCCCATACCACATAAACTAAGGTCCTAGAAAAAACTCAATTAATTATCCACTTTTTAATTTCTCAAAAAGAATTTTCAATAATTGGACTCTTAGAATACCACAACAATATTCACACAATGGGATATTAAACTTTATAAAACATCATCTCCTCTAATCCTAAATCAATCAATACAACATACCTAATGTCTTAAACATTCTCAACACCATCATCTCAACATTTCAACAATTTAATCATCAATATAGATTAACTTAGATCAATGTATAAAGAACTAGCAACATACAACATGTAATAAATTTAACTAACCTATACATGTTCAAAACTTTGGTGTGTTTGGGGAAGTGATTTAATAGGGAATGAAGAAGAAAGGGGGGACTATCAAGGAATTTTTATAATAAAAAAAACATGTGTGTTTGGAGGAGTTGATTTAAGTGGATTTGTGAGAAGATTGTGGTGGGGCTCATGTGGATTTAATTCTACTATCCTAAGGGTGAATTTGTGTGAAATTTTTCACCAAAAAATGCGTGAACAAGACTACCCTACACTATTGTCTAAATAGTTAGTTAGTAAAAGGTAAAAAAGTAGTTGTTTAAATAATATATTTTTCATGAAAATATAACTATATAAAATACATTTTTAAAATATCAATTCCTCTCAATTTCTCACCTTATTATATTCTACCAAAATAACTACAAATTTCACATTATTTCTTACCTATTTTCTATCAAATGAGTTTTTTTTTATTTATTCCCTTTCATTCCCTTCAATTCTTCCCTCTCTCCCAAACAAAACATTAGGTTAGAAAACAACACATTTTTCATTAAGCAATTCACACCAAGGTCATTCTTCTCACGCTCGACGTCATTGAGATAGACAGTCTTTAGCTTGCTCATGCTTAACGGGTGGATGAGACAAAAAGATTCTATTACTCTCAAGCTTGACGTGGTCAAAACCTATGCCCGACCTTATTTCAAGCAAAGAGTCTTTGTCTAACTTACACTTTACATCACTAAACTAGCACCCGATGTCATTTAGATAGAGAGCTTTTCTCTTTATCATGCTACATGTTACTCAACTATGGTTTAATGTCACCAAGTTAGGAAGCTCCAAGGCTTCCACATCTGACATGACGAAGTCAAAAAACTCTCCTCAAACTCACGCTTGACACTGCCAACCCCACGCCCAACATCAGTGAAGCAGAGAACCCTTAACCCATGTCATGGTTGATGCCTTGAAGTTGCACTTGACGTGATGAGGAATTCTACACTTGGTAGAATCTAGATTTTGGCTCTCCACACTTGAAACTCAGGAAATCCACTCATGCAATGTACTAAACCATACATAAGCATCATAAACAACTCGAATTCAACCAGATTATCAACTTATAACCACCAATTGATTAAAACCATCAATTCACCTCAACATGCTTCAAAATGCCAAAGCTCACCATACACCATTTTTAATCTAAACAACTATGAATTCTAAGAATTTCTAACAACATACACATCACAAATCAACAAGGAAACGAGTTCTAACTTCCCTTGCCTCTGAATCAAAGGGAAAAAAGTTGAAGGGAGAAGAAGACTATCCCGAGCTAACTTTGCACGGAACACAACCATAACTTTGAGGTCTCTGATGTAGAGCTCACCAAGTTTGAATCTCTTCCCAAGAACTTAATCACATTCCGGGGAAGATCACTCATTCAAAAGAAGGTTTAGGAAATAAGAGGTTCTCTTAGACTCTAAAGCCCTTCTCTTTAATCCATCTGTATATGATTTCTTAAGAATAAATTTATGAAACTCAAATCTTAATGAAAACCTTATATATTTTTTTCCTATAGGTCTAACTTGACTTTTGCTCAAAGTCATTCCTAAACAACTAAAACTCATTAGAAATTCTAAAATTTTAGAATTTTTAAACAACTAAATCACAAAATCACCACAAATACAAAAACAATAGAATCAACAATAATTAATAAAATATTGAATGTTACATTTATGAGTTTACTTTCTTTTGAAATAAAAATATTATCAACACAAAATGTATAAAAATATGCGTTAGTGGTATGTCAAGAAAAATAAATTTAAAAAAAACATATAAGAAATATAAATATGATAAATAATGTCATAAAGATTAAAAAAGATAATATATATATATAATTGACAGAAAAATATATCTTTTACGTATGTTATTGAGATTTGATTATTAGGTTGTGATTCACTCGAAAAGATATATATTTTAAGTATCTTTAAAAAATATTAAAATATAACTTTAAAATAATTATTGTATATATAAATTTGTGATTGAATTTTAGTACAACAAGTGTATACAATAATATAATAAGTAGCATTAAGTAAATAACTTTTTTTCCCAGATGAAAGAAGAGGAAATCAAATTACTGTGAAACTTCATTCCACGGGTTTGTATTCGCAATTTGGTGCCACAAATTGTCTTTTCTTTCTTCCCCAAATCCCAAAACTCCGTCGTGGGGGGTTCGTGTTTTTGGTTAAATTCACATCAAAATTTGGCGACTTTTCAAACCCCTTATTGACTTTTCCATCGGGTCCTCCATTCACCTCACCCTGATCGATCCGTGGGTTTGATATTCAGAGAATAGCATCAACTTTGATCGCAATCAAGTTGGTGCATTTAAAATCTGAGTGGGCAGGTTTAGGGTTGTTGTGATTTGGGGAAAAAAATGGAATCGAGTCGAAGAGCGGGGGAATCGTACTGGA